TTTTCCCTCCGGAATATTTTACCGAACCAATGCAAAAGATGAAAAGCACCTAGTAGATTAGTGGATTTAGGACTGTCGACACTGAGAATCGGCAACTTTTGGCGTATCCTTGATTTGGTAGATGGCACTTCAAGCCACCTTGATCTGTTCTAGGTAAGGTGAGGTGCCGAATCCGTCCCCTCGATCTTACTTCCACCTTACATTGCTGCAGTATACTGAGAACAGCTCTATGATATTTGTTTCGTTGACAATTCTCACAATGGATCGTCATTGTAAATTCAAGTCTGCCTAGGAGAGACCTGAGCTCTGGTTCGTATACAGCACTGTGCTTACCAGTTGCTTTGAGCCAGAGTGCTCATCCCGCAAGGCGAGGTTAAGGCAAGATCAAGCTGACGTTGAAAATAGTGCTAGCTAATCAACGTAGAGAAAAAAATACCTCAGTCAAGGCAAGAAGCACGGTCTTTTCGATTTCCTAAATTGGAGCCAAGTCGAGTTCAGGGTCCAAGGCTTTAGCCTTCACCTTGTGGTGGTAGCAGCACTAGGTGTGACCGTGATCGAATGCAGAATACTGTAGCCACCAGCTCAAAGCCGTCGATCATTATTCAATCATTATTCGAATTTCGACCAACGAACGTTCTGTTTGAAACGATTTCTTTATTTCAGAAGTAAAAATACACCTACCGTATGCAACAAGGTATCCACAGTTGAAATAAATACTCAAGTGTGTGTGATAGTGACCTCTTTGGAGCTCGAGATCGGCCAGTGAAGCAAAGTTCGCGAAAGGAACAAGGTTGTCGCCCTCTAAGGTCCTCTCCAATCCACTCGGCATCCCGTTATTTCAGAGCAGTCTAGCTGTTAAGAGGGGAGAAGACGGGTTTGTATGAGTGTGATGGAAGGGAGGATCAGACAGGATTGTATGAGATGGATGGGAGGAGGAGAACCGGGTGGTCGGCGTGAATCTGCTAAGTTATAGCTCATGTACGATGTCAGAAGCGAACAGAACAACATCCCTATGGGGTAAGAGCTCACTCGATGCCTTTGCCTAGCTCGACGGCTATAATGCAACGTAAATATCATTTAATCGTTTGGTCTTATCGTCGTTTCGAATCAAAAACAAGTGTCAAGCTTCCAAGTTCCGACCGTAATGGTTCTCATCGGTGAGAAGGTACAGCAGGGATAGATAAAGGGAAGAAGGGATAGAGGGATAGAGGAGGAATCGATGTAGCAGAGAGAATCGTACAGCAGCGTGCGTGCGTGCCGATACAGCGGTTCGTTTGCCTCAAAGTCGTGTGCAATCGTCTTGCACGTGGTAGTCACCATGCTGAGACATAGTAATGAGATTAACGGACTCGTGAGGTTCGATTTAATGCTTTAGTGCGAAAGATCCCGCACGCTGGAAAGTGAAAAGGACAATGGGATGAGAAGATAAGAATGAGGTTAAGAGGCTGAACTACGCCCCTGTCATATGAAAGAAATATCCTCTTCACCAACACGAACTGACAATGAAGCTTCATGTCAAACCCTATAAGTATTCAGGAGATATAGATATCAAGATTCGAGACCAAGACAGACCTTCTAGACGCTACCAGCCGACTACGTTCCAAAATCGAAAATAGGTGAATCTACCGTGACTGAGCTACACCACGGGTTCTTCCGGTTGAACATTGAGTGACGGAGATTGTGCTATTTGGAATCAGGAATTCAATCACCTGGTACCTAACCATGCTCGCTGCATTCTACCAGCTCCGCCTTACCCACCGGCTTCCGAGTCAACATTCTACAGCTCATTTCAATACTGGCTCCAATGCATTCTTTGCCAGTCGATATCCTTGAAGCTATTATTCAGGAGCTACTCGGAAGAAGAGAGAAGGCCACAGTGAAATCCTTATCCCTCGTGGTCTCGTCCTTCACGGCACTCTGTCAACGACAGCTCCTGCCACACCTCACTATCTCTTGCTCCGGAGGGGAAAACAAGCCAGGGAAATACCAGCGTTCAACATACGCAACACAGAAACTGCTCCAGTCGTCCCCTCACCTCATTTCATGTATCCGATCCTTATTGATCCTCGATTCCGACGGGACTAGTTGGACCCAGCTCGACCTCGCACTTCTTGACATTCTGAAATCTCTCATCAATTTGACCTCTTTCACATGGGAATCCAAATTCATTTCTTCACGTCCTACATGTTGGAATGAATTACCACTTCCATTGCAGGATGCAATCAGACTCACCATCCGACGCCCTTCATTGAATTTCTTATCCCTTCGTTTCGCCGATCTCACGGACCTGTTGAGCACCACAATCGTCATTTCTCCCTCGTTAGAACATTTGAGCTTGCGAGGAACAGGCCGTTCAAAGCTTACCTTCAAACTCACTCGTTCGAGCATCATAGCATGTGATGACACTGGAGAGACGATTCCCTCCCAGTTGTTCATCACGGCATGCAAGCTCGAAAGGATTGAGGATATCGAGATATTTTTTAGGTGGATCTCCGCCATCCAACCCCATCTTAGCCTTGAGCGACTTGATAAACTTGCAGTCATCCATTGCGCGCCCACTTCACCAACAACCGAGGAGCTTGCCTGGGGGCCGCTGTTGTATCATGGATTTGTTCAACCGAGGTTGGAGGAGCTTTGGTTTGACACCATCTCTACTCATGGCCCCCCAACTGGTAAGCGTTTTGGCATGTCTAGCAACTTGAAGATTTCTAATTATATCCTCCATCTTCAGGCCTTATATACCTTGATCAACTGCCTTCCTTGCAGCGACTTGGGCTATGCCTAGCTCTTTCCAGTGTAGAGGATGCCTGTAACTTGATATCAGGAATTATCCAATTCTTCGAGGTCTCGAATGCAGTTGGAATCACGCACCTTGCGTTTTTCTTTAGCTTTTCAGCCACTTCTCTGGTGTTAAATCCACGTAAAGTGCCATGGGAGCTTCTGGATAGGGCTATAGCAGCGTTGCCGGCTTTGCGATGGGTTGGAATTCAGGTGGTCGATAATAGACGGGATGGGATTGCGATGATCCCTCCGAGTCCGAATATTATGCTGCCAAAGTTGTCGGACAAGGGAGTGTTACATTGGTTGACTGGTTTGTTGGAGTTTCCGGCTGTGTAGCAAGTACGTGCATCTTTGGATACCGAATGCCAGTAAGCGCGATGTAGAATCAGATAGAAGTATGAAACTCGTACAAAAAACAATCTGCTCCTTCCACAAGCGAGAAATTGCGGTATGTAATCCTTTCAAAGAGCTTCGTCCGCCCAGTACTCCCGCTGCTCGAGCACGCGTAGGCCCGTTAACGAACGATTCGATGTATTGCTCAAGTGACACCGCCGTACTGTTAGCCGTCTTGTGGTCTACAGCTCCTGGAGTTTAAACGTACCACGGGTTGAATAACAGCATAGAATAGAGAATCTGTTGTCTATTACTAACGAGGAGTGCGGTGGCGGAGGTGAAGAGCGGTCGGAAGCCGTCGGGATTCGGTCCGGAGTATTCCGTCGACTCGCGTGGCGAATTCATCTTATCCTCTCAACTCACCGTTCAGTGCAGCTCATTCAAGTGTCAGCCCATCGCATACCAGGTGGTGGATCCTAAATTTGAAAGAAATATTCCACGACATAGAGGCGAAGCTGAGAGATGGCATCGTTCGTTAGACATGGAAAGAAGGTCCGAGACGTTGGCTTGCAAATCCAAATCCACTCTACTCTTTCTTGACCATACGCATGCTAGATCGTCGCAATAGGCCGAAACTACGCGGACCATATCAAAGAGCTAGGGAATACGACTCCGAAGGAGCCATTTTTCTTCTTAAAGGTGCGTGGCGCGTCGCTTGTCTTGTTCAGACAATTAGCTGATTTTTTCCTCCCTCTTTATTCTTGCACGTTCCACGATCGCGATCACGACCACTTTTGCGCCTATGTGTACTTCTGCTCTCGACTGTACCCAGCCGACAACATCCTATCTCCTCTCTCAACCGGGTGCTGGAGCTAAACTCGAAATTCCAAGAGGAATCGTATGTCATCATGAAGGTGAGCCGCTGGTTGGATTGATACGCTTACCAGCTGACTCACTCTTTGTCCCGTTATCTCTATCCTCATTTCGACTCATTCATCCATACATTCGTTCACCTACATTTCCGTCTACGAATACGAATACGAAATGTATATGTGTAGTTGAACTAGGTCTCGTCTATCGGAAAGCCAGGCAAGGACATCTCACAAGCGGACGCTGCTAATCATATCGCTGGGTATGGTGAGTGAGCGGAGCCTTCCTAGGCCATCATTGAACTTTTGGGTATTTCTCGTGCTTAATATAACCCGTATCCAGCTCTCGCGGTGGACCTAACTGCCCGAAACCTCCAAGACCAAGTCAAGAAGAAAGGATTACCATGGAGTGCGGCCAAAGGATTCGATGGGTTTACGCCTATAGGGTAATTACTTGAGCCTTTCTTCGTTCCAACGGTTCATACTGCTGACCTTTTGGCGGTACTTGTAGATCATTCATACCGGAATCACTAGTGAAAGACCCGCATGATTTGAGGCTTTGGCTCAAGGTACTTCCCAGTCGCCTATGATCACGTTTACGTTTATAACACTTGCCTCCTCTAATACAGGTCAACGACACCATAAAGCAAAACGGTCCAACCTCATTAATGATCTTCCCCATTCCTCGCTTGATCGAACATATTTCATCTATTATGACGCTCGAGGAGGGTGATTTGATCTTGACTGGGTGCGTAAGACTGAAGATGCCAACTTACTCTTTCTATTTTCTTATTTCTTATTCTAGGACGCCAGAAGGTGTAGGCAAAGTCCAAGCGGGAGATACGGTCGACTGTGGGTTTGGAGTCTGAGGGGAAGGAACTAGCGAGGCTGGTGTTTAGCGCTGTGGATCGAGTTGGGGGGTATGAGTTTAAAGCTTAGCTTTGTATACGGTGTTTTCATATGCACTATACCACGGATGCCAAGCATGATACTTGAATGCTAAGACCTAAGTTTATCTGCCCCATGGCTGAGTTGGTTACAGCGTCCGACTGTTATATAGGAAGTCCTTGGTCGTTTCAATCGGAAGGTCGAGAGTTCGAGCCTCTCTGGGGCAGATTTCGAAGATTTGAAAGTGCCGTTGTCATCTTCTTTTTTCGTCCTTCAGGTACTAATACCTCCAAAATGTCGATTCAGGGCAAACTCAGTAACCTGAATTCTTTGTGGTGCTTCTAGATCAACCAGTACTACTTGGCCCCAATCACTGGTAAATTGTCAAAGGCTAAGATGAATCCATCAAACTTCAGGGGTCAACATGTCCACTCCTCTTGAAATAGAAACTCATTACCATTCTTGGGGTATTTTCCCGCTCCGCTGCTGTCAACTCCTTCCCATTACTGTAACTGCCACACTGGCATTCATTCACTGACTTAGTCTATTTTTTAAGTATCGGCGTTTGGGCACTTCGTTTTATTACTAATCTTACATAATCTTAGTGCTCAGCGCCATCTACGTCCCTGACTCTCTTTCTTTCCGTTTGCTGTCGTTTCGACGCTTGACAGGTCGCACTTGCGTGCTTTTGTGATTTTCTTCTATAAATTATCCTTATGAACCTCGATAACTCCAATAAATTCCCTCGAAATAATGCTCAAAACTCGATTTTGGTGGTCCTCCGATGGTCTTCAAATACTTGGACGTTGCGAGATTGGTGGCTCACTGTCTCTAGGAGTGATGGGAGTGAAGGGAGAGGATAGTGGACTCATTTCAGGATTATGGTCAAGTTCTGGAATTGCCGATGGCGTATCATATGATATAGAGCCAGGATGAGGCGGAGGAGTTTCGGGTTCGGCAGTAGAATGGATGATACACGAACTGGAGGGCACTGGAGGTGGAGGCATGGAAGTCGAGTCATCTGCGGAAGTCTGTGGATGAGGGATTGAAAGAAGCTTGCTGTTGTTGCAGACATTTTAATACATCAGCGGTGCCTGCAATTGGCTGAAATTTTAAAGCTTTACGGCCTCTGGCCATGAGGAAATTTAAGGAAAGAAATCGAGATATATTTTGAAGCTGCAAGGATATGCAACGCAACAAAAACTGAAGGGAAAAAAACGGTCCGAAAAGGTCTGAGGGAGATTACCTCAGAATTCGGCGTCTAAAAACGAGTGCCCAAATGATTGGCCATAGATGACAGACTCTCTACACATCATTTACGATTGTGTAGTTGTCTGTTTAAAAGAGACTATCACTGACTGAGAATTCAGAGGAACTAGCTTGGGTGAGGCTGGACTTTAACACAGTGGATGGGGTTGGGTATGAGTTTAAGGGTTACTAGGCTTAGCCTGGCGAATTGGATCTACCTGTAAGCAAACACATATGGAACATGTATGAGAACCTGACTTCAAAATCTTGCGTACTATCTTTCATCTGCCCCATGGCTGAGTTGGTTACAGCATCCAACTGTTATGCTGGACGATGTTTCAGTTTAACTCAACTTGCAAGCAATCGGAAGGTCGAGATTTCAAGCCTGTCTGGGGCAGTAACCGAATAATTGAATTGCGGTTAGTTCTTTTTTGCTTTTCATAATACCTCCAACATGCCTCTGCGCTCTTGCTTCAGAAAAGTCCTAGTCATCTGGATGACATGCTTATACCGGCTTCACCACTATAGCGCCTAAGGAATTAAGTTCGAATCGTTAGCCCAGCATTAACCTTAGCCTAAGTATTGCGTGATGGTAAGTATGTGGTTCAAAGCCTCAAATCACTGTGCAACTATTTCCAATTCTGAAAGATAAAAGCCTAGCATGTCTGCAGTTCAAGCATTGCAGATACTAGTACATGGCCACTGCCCTGAGTGTGCAGGAATGAAAACTTCATCAGCAAAGCCTGGGTGTTCTGTACAGCTCTGTACAGAACCCACAGCACTTATAGGACCCATAGCAAGGTACCCCTCTGTACAGAACTGTGGGATGCTGTGGATTTCTGTGGACTTCATGGGAACGCCACCATCAGGGTTCTATTCAATATTGATTCAATACCAAATATATTATCATTTTGAATTGATTCCCTGGCTTGCGAGAGTGAAATACTTCATAAAATCATTTTATTGGTGATTCCAAACATGACTTGAGCTTGCTAGTAGTCAAGTTGATGCATGAGCCAAAAGCGGAAGCCAGAACAAGCGTATATTGGGAAAATAGATGAATTGACAAAAGTATAAGAAAATAGAGAGAAAACAAGAGATACAGGAGTAAACAAGTTAATATCAAGACAAGGGATCCTTCATGGAGAACAACCGGTTATATATGTGCGGGATGCTGAGTTGGTGAGTAGTGAGTATGTACAGAAGTAGATGGGACCCACTGTGTGGCTTAGCAAGTGGTTATCGGACCAGTAGAGTGAGCCATGGGTACAGTCAGGCAGTTTTGGTAGATAAAGGGAATGGGATTGGTGGTACAGGGCATGACTAGCACATACTGAATAGAATTGCTGTTAGTAGAATTAACATTAGTAAATTAGTACTTAAATACTAATGGAACTGGTGTTTTATTATAATACTAACTCTACTATTAATTTATTGATACTAATATCAGTACTGGTGCTAGTTATTAGTATTATTAGTATGCTGATACTGGATTAGTACTGATAACTAAGTACTAGTGATAAAATACAACTATTAGTGCTCAATGTAACTTAGAAAGAATACTAGAACTGTATTAATTGGCACTTTATTCACTTGTAGACTGACAATAAATGTTTCATTGTACTTGCTGGACACTTTGCACAACATAATTTTTTTTTCACTTGTGATACATTATTTGTATTTAAGTTAAATACAGGTACCTGCAGGTACCTGTCTTCCAGGTCAGCAAAGGTACCTGCAGGTATACCTGTTTCCCATGGATCCAGGCAGGTCACAGGTCACTCTTTTTAGGTTGCAGGTACCTGTCTGGCAGATCCAGGTTGACCTGATCTGGTGTTAGAATAGAAATGGAGTTTAATGATTGTGTACTGTTGACTCGACTGCTGAGCAACGTAGTACATGGTACTACATACTGTTTTTACTTTAGATGACTATGTCATAGTGCATATACAGAAGTGCACTATGTGATATCTGTGCTACTATGCATACAGTCAAGTGCTACTGTGAGTATATGATGGATACTGTGAGTGTATGCGCAATATCTCTGTGATATCTATTTCTAGTATGTATGTGGCTAATAGATTCTGTAATTCCAACATCTGGACTCATGTACATCACTACCAATGGTTGGAATGGCCTACCGCGTTTTGTCACGATTTGCAGACGTAGTTCTATGTCATGCTTCTATTAGCTTGTCATTACAAAGCATCAGGAGTGAGGGCTGCAACACTCAAGTACAGTGAATGGTATCATGCTCAAAATTCCTCAAGTCTTGGAAGACAAAAAATTTTGGCTCTCATATTCCATGCATTCTGGTCTCCTCCAGTCAAACCCTTCTTCGATGGATTCTTACCATGGTTGAATGAGATCAAACTAGGTTTATGGGGTGGTTTCCCAGTACTCGACAGTCATCGGTTTGGCCAAGGCCAAGGCAAGGCATTTGAAGAGGACCACTGGTTTTCTAAGGCCCGTAAGGGATCAACAGCAAAATCCCACTGTGGATGCCCACATTGCACCTTTCGATGAGGAAACAGTTGAATGAGGGTTTTTTCTATGAGACATTCTTTGATGTGATGTGGTTGTTCAATGGGAAGGAAATTTTGACACAAGATCCCAATGCAGGTGCCACCAGTACTATATTGCAGTAGGCTTATCGGAGGATAAGATAGGCGCCAGGCGCGTTGGTTAGACGCTCATCGAACTGCGTCCTTTTTTCTGCTCCGGAATCATTCCTTTGGGATTATTGTTTTCGGCCTCTTCCATATCACGGATTACACATGCCACCGACCAAATCGCCCCATTATTCAAAGCTTTAACCCTGTCATAGATGTTCACCAGAAATAGGGAGTAATTTAGAGACAAAATGTTGCCGGCAGAGCTAAAACATTCGGATTGCATTATTGGGAAGATTTGAGTTAAAACAATTACTTTCAATCCTATTGGGAATTAAAAGAGTCTAATCCATCTTGAAGCTATTGTTTTCTGAATTCAATTGAAGACTATTGTTTTGGAGCCTTGCAGAAAGTTCACACTTTAACTGGTCTGAATTTATTTATTTCTCAAGTCCATTAAAAGATCTATCTTCAAAATTCCTACAAAAAAGTACATTTCTGTTATCTATTGAAATAAAATGAGCAAATTTATTGATGGTGTGACTCCCTTTGATCCTGCGGATTTTCAATGCTCGAGCCAAGGTTTACTCAAACAAGAATCAGTGTTGGAGCAATCCCCTGTAAAATACTTAGTACCAGTTTACAATACACTCCTAAACCTACCATAATTGGAGCTACTATGATAAGTAATCTGTCAATATCTACATGGAAATGTAGCTGGATTGCAAGAACAACAATTATGGAGATCGGATATAATGCACCAGACTCCACCCTGAAGGAAAATAATGTTAATCCTTTTCCTCCGAGTTTTGAGAGAAGGAGATAAATGTCACCTACACAATTGCTACCAGCTGGTATATTTGCTTTCTATGGATACGAGTTTTATTGACCTTGTCAAACTCCGATGGATAACAGTTAGCTATTATTTGACCAAGTTGCCAGATTCTTCCGCTGGCGTAAATTGAACATTACGGCAAAATTCCCTAAAAAAAAGTGCCATTACGGACCTATAAGTCCAGTTAAGAGGGTATCTGCAAAAAGGGTACCGCCAGCAAATGCGAGTATTACGATTGTTTCAGTTAACGTTGTAGTATCATTAGGTAAGCCATTTCTCAGCGAATGGGTCAAGGCTGATATGTCACTTTCAATTCCAAGGACTAGAGCAGCGATTTTTAGCCCTGTAATGAATCAGAAAACCACTCGGCAGTAAGCACACATTTAACATTTGAAATTCAACATCTCACCAAGGTTTATACCACATAGAATCACAGGGCCAACAATGATAGACTTTTTAGAGCCCCAGATGAAATAGCAACGGGACAGCTTAGATTATGACTTCAATGTGATTCGGGAATGAGATGAACAAGTCACTGACTAGTATTGCATCCGCCACAGTACTAGGAAATTCAGTTGTTTTCGCAGGTTCAAACTTCAAATTACAATGATCTTACCTTGCAGCTACAAAGACAACATTCGAAGAACATCTAATATTATTATTATATTGATCAGATTAGGATGCACATTTCAAGAATACAGAGAGTCTAAAACGAATAATGACTCACGTCAAATATAGAGCTAAAGCGTAGTGGCTGTCAGGATTAAATGAAGACTGGCCCGGGTTGGAAAAAATTTCAAGTGTTGCGCTTGAAATTGTGGCTTGATACAGTGCCAATGTGGACAGAATTGTGATAATGCTGACAAGCAGATAGAGACAAAGAACGGAAATTTGGTAAAAGTATGGCCTTTTGCGCACGCGCTGATGAAATTGAAGATATATATAGACCCAAACTAGCACTGTATAAGCACCTAGAAATTGCATATCTTGACTCAGTGATTTGGTAGAGTTTTTTTAGGAGCTTAACCATTCACCATAGAACAGAAATGCAAACTAAACTTTCGTTGGTGAGCACCACAGTGAAACCACCAATTATAAGTACTCACCAATGTCGCAACCCAAGCTGGTTGTATAACAATCTCCACATACTCAGTTGGTGTGATTAAGCCATCTGAGACAGCTGAACATTCTACGGTCATTATGACAGTGTCCTGAAGTTGGGATGAGGGTAAAAAATGGAAAGATAATGTTCTGTCATCATTCTTTTCACGATACATATAATCCTATAACCAATACCAACTATCAATGCTTGATGTGTCTCAGTGACATCATAAAAGGGCGGTTTTGATCGACTGGCTTGACCGGCTTGCTGGGTTGCCCACAAGTTGCCTGCTGTATGTACTATTAAATATATAGAGTACTATACAGTTCTGTACTATAGATATGGTGCATGGAAACCGGGTTGCGAGGAAAAGCCGAGATAAATTGCGGCTTATTAATTGACCTGCTTGTTTGGGCTGAACAACCCGAAACAAGCTGGAACAAGCCGGTCAATCAATACTACCCTAGTTACCATGGAGGAATACTCACTAATGATGCCATCTTTGTTGAAATATGATCAGGCAATGTGAAGTAAATAGAAGAAAAAGAAAACCACAACAATAATTAAGATCCACTCTCTGTGTTGAGGTGACTTCCATGGAAATTCAATGCAAAGTCAAATAAGTAAGCTAATCACTTGAATTATGGATACGAAACCTTGATAATGTCGTGACATATTCATGTCCAAGGCCATCATCAATCTGCCAGTGGTGTCTAGTGTGGCAGTGTCACGTGTGATGAGATGGAAGGATATAATAATCAGTTTCCAAGGCTCAGCCAAGGCTTTCGGGGGTTGATACCGGAGTTTCTAGCTCACTAGTTTCCCTGGGACTTGAAATTGTTTTGAGAAGCATCAGCAAAACATGTATGATGTGGCCAGTCCTTGACAGTGCCGACAGTGCCTCCATAGCCCCAGAACCCCAGAACCTAGATGTGCCGGCCAGAGCTCCCAGATGCCATATTATTGCATTATTTGGAAATAAGATTTGTTGGGAAGTGCTGGGCGGCTCTGGCAAGCACTGTGAAACTTGAATTTTGCTGGGAATTCAGTGTTTTCTGTCAAAATTGAATCAGTAAATACACTTTTTTTTTTTTGATGAACTTGAAAGATGAGTGATTTTTACAGAAAATAATTATCACGGAAACAATTTTGGCCATTTTTCTCTTTTTCCAAATTATCATGATTCATATGTATATATTGAGCATGCCACAACTCAGGCCTCAAGCATTTCGCAGATTTTTACTAGTTCTCCTTGAACAGACCCTGACAATCTGTTGGATATGTATATACTTATAATTGTTTTGTGGGGTAACACCCAGTTATCTGTTGCCTTAGCAATTGGCTCAAAGAGGAGTTCGGGGAAAAAAATTATAATAGCAAGGGCCCCTTGGTCCTCCAGAGATTTTTCACTGCCACACTCCCTCGTGTATTGTAAGCAAGTTGTAAGTGTCTAAAGATTTTAGTTGTAGCTAGTATTGCAAGATCCATAAGACTTGCAACATGCAAGCAAGCTACAAATAATTCTGGATGCTGGTGAACAGTTTCTACAAATTTCATGGATATTGACCAATAGCATCAGCAAAAGCATATCCTTCACAAAACATCTGATCCTGAGTGGATGATTACGTAATAAGGACATCCAATGGGGTGGGGGTTTGATTCCTCTATGGTGCATGACTCCTGCCACGTAGCTGGTTATATGGCAGAGAGGTAAAGTGCACATATCCTTAATAAAACATCTGCCTCACTGCTCATGACACCTGGCTTGCACTAGAGATGGGCACGAATATATTTGTGAATACCTGAGTACTGGGCAATGTTCAATGAATAGCCATGGGAATTCTGCACAGAATGAGTACCACAGTATGCAAATTAATGAAGGAGTAGTTAAGCTGCATCCCTGTCAAATTTCTATCACATTTGGATCATTTCCCCATGCTCCAGCCACCAAAGAAGCTCCATGAATACTAACAATGCACAAAACAAATATATTCGTGGTTTTTGAGCATATTTTGGTCACTGGAGCATGGAGAAATAATCCATAGTATAATAAAAATTTGATCAGGATGTAGCTCAACTATTTCTCTACCAATTTGCATGCTATTTTTACTCATTCTGACCAGAATCTCAGTGGCTATTCACCAAACAAACAAATATTTGTGCATATATTTGTGTCCATCTCTAGCTTGCACTCAAATGCAAGTACAAACCTGCTAACACACTTGCTGCCATTAATATTAAGCAGCATATTATCAACAATGCCTGCCCCTGTGGAGATGACCCCATCACCTGGCTGCGAGTCATGGTCCAGCTATACAACCAACTCCGGGATGCAGATCCAAGGATGATGCCTGATTCAGAATTTGCTTCGCATCTCATCACATTGATGACCCAGGAGAAAAACTGGGGCATTATTCAAATGCACATCTATCTGCCCCATGGCTGAGTTGGTTACAGTGTCTGAGTGTTATGAAGGGGTTCCTCATTGCAATTTTGATTGGAAGGTCGAGAGTTCGAGCCTCTATGGAGCAGATGTCAAGGATCCAAAGTGATGTTGTCTTTTTCTTTTTTCTTCCTTCAGGTAAGATAGGGCTCATGGACAATGTACACACCACCTACATCAAAGCTGATTTTGGCAGGGAAAACAATGAAAATCTTAATGCAACTGCAGTTGGGACCAAAATCACTAAAATGAAAGAGAAATAAGCCTTTTATGGGATAAATGCAACAACTCTGTGTGGCCAGATTTTTTAATTTTTTGAAAAATATGTATCGGGTGGGTGAGGAAGTTTTAAACTTTGCATGCCAACTGTGAGCTAACAATGTTGAAATCAAAAAAAAAAATTGGCTATACAGAGTAAAGATGGACACAAGTCTGGATCCACCAGACAGGTACCTGTGGCCTCAAGGGCTGACCTGTGACCTGCCCCGGATCCGTGGGAAACAGGTCCGGTATAGCCGGGATCCGTGGCAGGTATACCTGCAGGTACCTGTATGACCTGTTGAAAAATTTTGATCTAGGTTTTCAGTACTTGTTAGTAATAAATCTTATGCCATTGCTTCCAGTAATAAGTATCAGTATTAAATAGCATGGACTGGAAGTAATACAATGACTATCTTTTGGATACAGTATTTAGCCTAAGCTTTGTCAGTACTATACTAGTATTGTATTAGCAGTAACAACTTAATAAGTATAGGAGTTTGAGAGCATACAAAGACCCAGGGCTCACCTGTGTGTACCTGGACTGACCAGAAATACAGGTACTTGCATTTCAAAACCATATAAGATTATTATAAAGGTAACATTAATTATATTCTGTAGTCTACTACATGTGTCAAGCACCATCACTTAGTCCTAGCATTACACTTACTAGTAGAAAACTAGTAATACTAGCTATTACCACTGGTATGCTGTAACTTAGTCTGGAGTAACTAGTACTAATGCAGGAATTGGTATCAATATATTATAAGTAGAGAAAACAGCCATTATACTAGTTAATTATAGCTTACTAGCACTATTGTATTCAAAACATACCAATACTAGACTATATTACTAATATATACAGTCAACATTGACTAGTATTAAACAAATACTAGTATTAATAACTTCATCAGGTATGAATGTACTAATATCAGTCAAACTTTAATGAAATATTTACAGCACTTGAGTAGTAAAATTTTTATTGATGCCAGATCCACAGGTACCTGCAGGTCATTAAAAATATCCCAAAGGATAACCTGTGACCTGTGCCGGATCCGTGGGAAACAGATACCGGGATCTGCAGGTCAAATACCTGTGGGTATTCCCATGGGTATACCTGCAGGTACCTGTTCCGGATCCGGACTCGTGTCCATCATTAATACAGAGTTGTACATATACAGTATCTAGAGCTCCCTGCTGTCTTCAACTGACCTCCTGGTTATTGTAGCCAGTGTCATTAAGATTTTTGTAGTTTTCTCCGCCAAATCAAAAAACATGTGACATGTGTACATTGTCCATGAGCCCTATTTTACTAATACCTCTAAAATTTTGATTCAGAGAAAACTCAGTAATCCAAATTCATTATGGTGCTTCTAAACAACCGGTACTACTCGGTCTCAACCAGGTAACATTGTCAAAGGTTAAGACAAATCCATCAAGCTTTAGGGGTCAACATGTCCACTTCTCTCGAGATAACTTAGAAACTAAATACCATTCTAGGAGTATTTTCCCACTCCACTGCTGTCAGCTCCTTCCCATTACTGTAACTCCCACACTAGCATTCATTCACCGACTGAGAATTCAAAGGAACTAGCTTGGGTGAGGCTGGACTTTAACACTGTGAATTGGGTTGGGTATGAGTTTAGGCTTACTAGGCTTAGCCTGGCAAATTGGATTTACCTGTAAGCAAACACATATGGAACATGTATGAGAACCAGACTTAAAAATCTTGATCTTTCATCTGCCCCACATCTGAGTTCATTACTGTTGGATATCTGGCCTGTGTGGTTGTCCGGCCGCTCCAAGCCTATACCATGTTCCGTCCCCCTATTAGACTTACTACATATACATGTTAGTTACATGTCAACAATTGATCTTTGTTGCCCCTGTTTGCTCCCGCTCACTGATCCCACCTATCGAGGTGTCCACCCAGTCATATTGCTCAACAGTTATAGCATCCAACTGTTATGCTGGATGGTGTTTCACTTTAACTCAGCTTGCAATCGGAAGGACGAGAGCTCAAGCCTCTCTGGGGCAGTAACCAAATAATGGAATTGCAATTAGTTCCTTTTTGCTTCTCATAATACCTCCAAAATGCCTCTGCGCTCTTGCTCCAGAAAAGTCCTAGTAGGATGACATGCTTATACCGGCTTCACCACTAGCGCACCTAAGGAATTAAGCTCAAATATTGAGCCCAGCGTTAACCTTAGCCTAAGTATTGTGTGATGGTAAGTATGTGGTTCAAAGCCTCAAATCACTGTGCAACTGTTGGATTATTCTGTTTGACTGTTGAAAGGATCTGACGCTTACAATAGTGATGTCATTGATAT